TTCCATAGGCTAGCCAAAATTAAACGATATTAGGCGTAACATGTGGATTGCAATTAACTTGATTAATAGGGGCCTATATAACTCTTTTTCAGTCTTAGACAAATAAATGTTTAAACGTGGGGCCTACTTAATTTAGTTAAAACATGAGGATTATTTAAATAAGAAATTATACCAATAGGTTATAGGTTAGAGAGGTTTGGTTTGGTTATGTTATGTTATGGTATGTTAGGTTAGGTTAGAGAATGTGTACATGGTTTTTTGGTGAGTGTCAGGCCGTCAGTGAGACACTTTGTCTAGCAGCTACCTTAGGCCTAGTTCCAGACTTTCAACATTATCATAGGTAGAGTATTAATTTAAGAAAATTTACGGCTAATCCGATATAATTTCAGGTTTTAAATTGTTGTTTTTTGTATGAACTTGAAGACAATTCAGACCAAATGTCCCCAACATTGAAAGGAAAACACCAGGGTCTAGGCTAAATGAGTAATATAAGAGAAGTGATTTGTCATTTAGGTTCGGCAAAGCTATGTTATCAATAACCAATTTATTTGAATTTGCCCAGAATAGTGTATACTTCAGCCTCACTGAAATTAGGCCGTCTCTTCTTGGCTGGTGTTCCTTCCATGTTTACAAAATAATATTATGTGCGTCGCTCTCAGCTGATTTCTCCTTCTCTTGTGATTGGTTGATGATTTTGTTAACTGAGCGCTGATTGGCCAACTAGCTCCTGCACTGACATCTACCTTCCGACAAGAGAACTTAATTTACAGGGTAAACACTAGAGTTATGAATACTTACGAAAGGCTTACGGAACTGTAATTAAATTTTGAGTATGCTAAATTTACGGGACTGTAAAGATTCGACAATATATGGTACTGTATCATGCTAAAAGACGTAACTTATGAGGTGTTTTGAGTATCCGGCCCCAGTTCTACAACTCCTACAATATCTGGTTGGTGTACCTTCAGTAGTGTTTCAAACTCCTCTCTCTTATCAAGAAACATGTCAGAATTAGTGTACATAACATTCGAGCCAGAATTTGTTCTCGGTAATGTCTGCTCTTAGTAGTAACACCCCCCCCATTCTCAAAAGCTGCAGCATTTGCTAAGTACACTGTATGTCATTGTTTACACCGTGCTCGCCTCCTCCCGGGTGGGGGGTAGAGCGGGTGGAGGGTGCGCTGTTGACACACTTGCTTCCACTATCCTCTCCCCGTTCCTCCTCGACTCATCCCTTCTCTGCTTCAAGCCCTGCAGGAGCTTCCTGTGCTGTTCCCTCTGCATTACCGTGCATTCTGGGTGAATGAATACACTCCAAGATGCCTCGCTCCTTGCTAAGTTTTTTGCCTGCCGAATAACCTTCCATTTCTCCTCCTCACTCACTAGTGTGATCCTGAGGGGACCAGGCTTATCTCCCTGCTATTGTCCCAGCCTCCTCACATCCTGGAGGGTTGATGGCATTTTCAGAACCTCTGTACAAATATTCTTAAACTACATCTTATCGTGTGTTATCTTACTCTAAGTTCCCTCCGCCTGGCTCTCAGGGACTCCAAAAACTATTACATTGTTCCTGCGCTGGAAACGTTCCAGTTGTTCCTCCTCTCCCCTAACAGTAGGTCCGTTAATTTCCATTTCTTCGACACACTGCTTCAGGGTTCCTAGCTGCTGTAGAACCTGTTCTGATCCTAAATTACTCTCCCCCACCTCCAGTAGCCCTGCTAATGCCTCGGCATAACTTCTCTTAACAACTACCTCCATTATATCGGCTACTTCCTCAGTCTTAGCAAGGATATCTTTCCCAACTTGTCCTAGTTTGGCAACCAGCAAGGCTCTAGCGTCATCTATTTTCGTCCCTAGGGAACTCATTCCCCTTTTGCTTGCAATCGCCTCTTTCACCTTGACTCTGCAGTCAGGGCAATACCAGCAACAGCCTTCATGCTTTACAGCAGCTTGCATCGTCCTAAATGTTGCATTAGTCAGGCCTGTATCATCCATATCTGTTATCCCCGCATTAATCTCATATCATACTCATGGTTGTTGTTGTTGGGGGGGGGGGTGCAGACTGTGTATAGATCTACATTTATTTAAGAATAAAGAAAAAAAACAGTACTTAGCTGCCCTCTGCTGGTTTTATCCTCCCCTGTTGCCTTTAGGGTTGTCTTCTCTTATTTTTTTTCAGTTCACTTCTGCAATTTGTCAGTATTTACGTGCTATCTCTATGTACACTGCATTGTGCTATGACTAATGGATTTTATACACCCTTTCAGTCCTTAAGAAACCCAGAAAAATAAAATAAATCTTTCTTTGGGGCAGTAATAGACTGCCTTTTAGGATGGCCAAACTTGTTGTTTTTATTTTTATTTTTTTATTTTAACTATTATTTCCTTATACTACAGTACTTTCTTTTCCCGTTCACGTCTATATCTCTTGGTGCTATCACTGTGTACACTGTATCTCCCTGTGAATGGTGTATTGTAGGCACAGTTTCAGTCCATGAGAAAACACACAAGCAAAATTTTTGACCAAATATACTTTTCTCTCAGAATTGGAATTTAAGAGGTTTAACTAATTAGGTACATACAGAATAACACACACACCTAAATCTCACCTTGGAAACCCATAGCTGGCGAGTAATTAACATTGTGAACCTTGGTATTTTTTTCATTACCAGTTGGGATCAGGAGACTTTATGGAGAGATGAGTGATCCAGAGACCATTAGCCTGGTCCAGGGGTCAGCAGTCTGTTGGTCTTAGGACCAGTATTAATCTGGTTTAGGGACCCCCCTTTATTTTTCTAAATTAGTGTAATGTCTGAAATGTTTAGCCTACCGGTAATTATAGGTCAAGGATAAGTTGTCCTAATTTATTTAGTATGGATCAGGAAGCTAATTCTAGGACTGTAGTTAGCCTGATTAAAACTGCACAGCTTGTTACCTCAAAATACCATGTGCATTGGGTATGTGTGGCCTCCCTCACAGGTTCACTGTCAAATCTCTCATCTGGAAGTTTTTGACCAGAGAACTGGAAGAGAATTCTCTCTGGAGGAAAGAACTTCAGATGACCCTTACCTCTTAGCTCAGAGATCAGGTTATTTTGCTAGGAGGTGCCTTTTGCTTGGACCAGCATTAGTTGTGCAGAGAGGTGCTGGTAGCCTAAGGGATGGTCGTGCACCAACTAGTGTTTAATAAAGTCATCATACAAATTTATATTTGTTCATCATGTACTACAAATACACAATGTAAGTCCACTAAACCAAGGATAATTTAGGAAGGACATCCAAAGATTATTTCCATTAAAGTATGGGATAAATAAATCGTTAGTCATTAAAATTACCATCCAAGTTCACATTGGCTCTTGTGTTGTGAAGGTGTAAATATTAACTAACTCCTTGTAATTCTGCACTAATACACTTGTCACATACATACATACACACCATTGTTAAGTATTTTATCTAAGTGCCATACATATGGTGTATCTTGATATTTCTGTAATAAGTTGTACTTGACACAGGAGGAGACGTCTGGTCCTGCAGCAACACAGCACAGCACCTTATATCACGGCTCCTGTACAGAAGAAAACTTATCTACTGATTCTTGGCAGATTATGTTACCATTTGAGGTGAACTGAAGCCTAGATGTAATAGTGATTGAAGACTACAGTTCAGGAGGAGAGAGAGTGTTATCTGGCATTGGTATTAAAATAGTTAGCAACTGTGTGTTAATAACTTACAGGGTTCAGTTTAACACAGATAGGCTCATCATATATTTTAATAAAGTACAGGTATCCCCCAAGATACTTACAGTATGTCCAATAAATGAACAATCATTATTACAAAAATATCAGTTTGACTTTACAAATTCCCCTCAGTCACAGGGTCAGTATAGCCCAGTGGTGCATTGGCACTATTGCAGAATGTTGGTTGTGTTTAATGTATTTATTATTTTACAAGAATTATATTGGTGAAAAACCCACCAGTTGACTGATTTTTCCCTCCCAGAACATAATACAAGAGTTGTACCATTCAATATGTTTTTTAACTTAGAACCCTTAGTGCTATACAGTATGTTAGAGGATACCTGTACATGTAAATTAATGTACAGTACTGTAGGTTCACCTGTTGGGGAAGTGAAGGCAGTGTTAATCACAAGGTTCAGTATACAGTACACTGCTCTTAATGGACCATCATGCTTGTGTGGATTAACCAAACACTACTTAACAAAGTTCATTTAAGTTGTAGTGGAAAAATAATTAATTTGCAGAACTTGAAATGAAGTATTTATGAAAAATGATTCAATGTGTACATAATGTGAGGTGCCTGGTGGAAGAGTGATGTATGTGCCAAGACCACAAGCAAGGTTAAAGTTTGTTTACACTGTATCCCACCACACTTATAGTTTTATACTGTATATCCTCTGGCAACTGTTGAAACAAACATCTTGCTTGACCACTAACTCGCTTCCACCGAGTGCCTCATACATTTGTGTTTTTCACAACTGTATTGTACTATATTATATTGTACTGTACTATATTGTATTGTACTGTACTATATTGTATTGTACTGTACTATATTGTACTGTACTGTACTATATTGTACTGTACTGTACTATATTGTATTGTACCATACTGTACTATATTGTATTGTACTGTACTATATTGTATTGTATTGTACTATATTGTACTGTACTGTACTATATTGTATTGTACTATATTATATTGTACTGTACCATACTGTACTATATTGTATTGTACTGTACTATATTGTATTGTACTGCACTGTACTATAATGTACTGTACTGTGTTTTATTGTACTATATTGTATTGTATTATATTATACTGTACTATATTGTACTGTACTGTGCTATATTGTACTGTACTATATTCTATTGTACTGTACTATATTATACTGTACTGTTCTATATTGTTTTGTAGTATATTGTATTGTGCTGTACTTTATTATACTGTACTATATTGTATTGTACTATATTCTATTGTAGTGTATTGTACTATGCTGTGCTGTACTATATTTTATTGTACTGTACTATACTGTATTTTATTGTACTGTTCTGTATTATACTGTTGGGTACTGTACAGCCACTCCTTGACTTACGAGAGGGTTAGGGACCCAAATCCAGGTCGAAAATGCTAAGATACGTAGAAAATCTAAAATGGGTGTCTCTTTTTCTTCTCAGCACCACAAAACTCTCATTTTTAAGCATGCCAACCATTTTGAAGGGAATTACAAACGAAAATTTTGTCAGTACACAGCGCAATCACTAAAGTCGGGACTCGAAAATACGTAATTTGAAAAAAAATTTGGTACGACCGAGGCGGTTGTATGTCCAGTAGGTCGTAATTCGAGGAGTAGCTGTATATTGTAGCCTTGAAGTGTACCAACTATATAGTCCTTGGTACCAGAATTGTGCATTTTATGTACCAAGGCTATATAGTCTTGCATGCCTAGAAGTGCTCATTTTGTGTACCTACAGTAGACTGTATAGCCTTGGTGCACTTTTACTAATACTACTTTTTTTCTTCACCTTTATAGTTTTTTGTTTCACTTCAGTTAATTAAATTATTATTATTAAAGTAGTTTTGAAGAAGATTACAGGGGGCCCCCAATTTACGAACAGGTTCCGTTGAAGAAGATTACAGGGGGGCCCCCAATTTACGAACAGGTTCCGTTCCTTATGACATTCTTTTTCGGATTTGTACTTAAGTCGGAACACGGCTGCGCCATGAGCATACCATACTTACAGAACAATGTTTAAAATCACACTATATCATAGCCTAAGTCCTTGTATACATCTAAAATCAATTAATTTAAGACAAAAGAGAAATAGATTGACAATACAGTAAATGAAAGTAAAGAATATCATTTGATGATATATTGTAAATTTCATGTTTAACACCGTTCATATCGGCGGGGACTCCCTGTAATTTCTACAAGTTTTAATTTTTACATAGTAACAGTGCAGTATTTTGTCTTAAGTAATATTTTCATATACTTTCTCCCCCACTGGCTAAAATGGACCTGAATTGAGCTGGACCTGCAGTGAACTAGACCTGAAGTGAACTGGACTGTAATTACTATCTGGTATTTTATTTAATATTTTCTGGTACTTTTAATATTAGAAAGGTTCTACAGACATCCCTCAGTTTATAAAAGTTTTGTTCCTGAGAAACCTTTAGTAAATCACATCAATACTTCCATAGGCTCCCATTATAAAAGCCAAGATACTTTTCTGCGATGAAAATACTTCCCCCAAATGATGTACTGTACACAATGATTATAAGCCACTATAGGAGGAGTTCTACTGATGAATGAGTTATGTTCTGGAGGTTTATTTGTGAGTCCAACTTTACTCTTGTAGATGTACAGTACAGTGGCCTGTAAGTTGACCTTTGAAGCTCCAATTTGTTTTCTTAAAACTAAGAGTCGTCTTATACAACGGGTATACAATGTCGATCTCTAAATACGCTCCACCGCTAGCACCAGATTTTCACTTTGCTGTACCGGCAGGTCTCGGTCACATAATTTCCAGCACTCGTAAATAAGTTTTACCTAACTGTAGCATTTTTCCAGAAGAGTAAATGTTACTGAACTCCGCTTAAGTTTAGTGTTTACACTAGTCACATTATGGGTGTCCCTACACACATCGACACCTTTCAAAATATCTTTCGGCATTAACTGCGATTTTTTACAAACAAACGTTACTGGGGCAATAACTTGTAATATTTGTTGTTAAATTTAAAAAAAAAATGCAGTTATTGAATATTGATATAATGCTCGAGGATTTTATAAATGTTTACATGAATGTGGTGTAAAGTTGTTAACAAGACAGGCACCTGGGAACAGCTGGCTGGCCTGCAGCAGCTCGGTCAGTGAATGTCACTAGATTTATCGGCAAAGTTGCTAAATACAAAAAAATCTGGAGAAATACCATTACATATAAGACGTTATCTAACACGAGATAATTGTTAACAATGGCTTTGATAAATGCCAAAAAAACTGTCACAAGTGGCATTAAAGGTAGACGGCATAAACAATGCACATTATGTTCACATAGACTCAAGTGCTAAGTACCATAGAATGTTGATGCACAACTGGCACATAATTAATGGTCACTTTCCTATCTCTATACAACTGTTAGTACAGTGTATTTCCATATAGATATTCAGTGAACAAATAATTGATGGGTCTTATCCCACAAAGGGTAGGTTAAGACAATATGAAACTCATCTTAATTGTGAAGTTAAACAGATTATAAGGATCGTCAGTTCATTTTCCTTCAGAATTATGAGTGAAAATTATTTTTGGATCACCTCTCTGGCTTATTTAACCTTAAGATTAACCACCCTAACCTTACCTAACTTACTTAGTGTTAAGGTGCTTAATCATCAGGTGATATTAATTGGGGGCTAATCTTCATGTGATCTTTGGTTTCTCTATCAAGCTCCTCAGATCAGCCATCACACCAGACCAGGACCAGGACCTGTACGAGAGAAGGAATACTGTGGTCTACCTTGCAGTATGTTATTGAGTTAGTTACTTTACAGTAGAAGTAAGTAGCCACACCAGTACTTAACAGATTATTTAACTATGTTGAGTTTTGGTGTTGCTGTGTTATTTGAACCTTTCTATAGATTTGTAAACTGACTAATGACTTTAGACGGTGTTTAAGATTAAGTTTCTAACAGTTAAAACTGTGGTTAAGTTGTGTGGAAGTGAGACAATGACTTAGCACTATGCTGAAGGTGTTTAAAAGTGAGAAAGTGACTTATAGTGAAGTTTGTAGAAGTGAGGATATTAGTTTAAAAAATTGTGTATGGGAGAAAATGACTAATTACCTTCATGAGATTTAGAGTATAGTTTAATTTTTATACAAGAAGTTGGAGGTCAATACTGTAGGCGTAATATTTTAGGACAAAATTCTTCCTTCCGTGATCATTTAAGGTGAAAAGCAGCAGAGAGAAGGCTGGTTGTATATTGCGGCGAGAGAGGAAGTGCTGTACTGTACTAAGTTAATGGATAGAAGGCTGCCGGACGTATGACTGACGAGTATTACAGTAAAGGAGGAAGCTGTTGAGTGTGGGGCGACTGGCGATACAGTACTGAAGTTGTATGAGCAAGAGAAAAGGCTGGTGATGTGAATTAAAACTGTGCTGAAATAATGTATAATTGAGGGAAACTTGACTAGAAATGTAAGATTTAATGTACTGAAGCAGATAAAGAGGAGGGAGTGACTGTAGACTAGACTGAAGTTTTATACAAGAAGGAAGGATTTGTATTACTTAATCTCGCATGGATTTCTTTTCTTTCTTTCTGCTTTCCACATCCTAGGTTAGGTTTTATTTCATCAGAGCCAACCATAAAGAGAGTCATCTATTAACTGCAGCTGACCCCACCATAGTTTCATCTATCAACTGCAGCTGACCCCACCATAGTTTCATCTATCAACTGCAGCTGACCCCAACATGAAGGACATTTCATCTATCAACTGGAATCAACTGCATCTGAACCCCTTTCCCCTACCCCTTTAGAGCGGGGGTCAGAAGTCTCTTCTGGGAAGTACCTTACTCTCGGAGCATTATAACTCTGGGTTTATGGCCTCTATTACTTGCATCTGGGAAGAGTTTCCCTGAGGAGGCGATTGGTCCTAGGAGCAAGCAATTGCTGCATCTAGGTGTCAGCGTTAGGCCGCTTAGGTTCCCTTTTTAAGGATCTTCAGGCGAGCCTCTTCCAAGTACACTGAATCCTAGGACAAGGAGAGCCGAAGAAGATTGGCACCATTTTTTTATCCCTTTGAGTCAGTCATTTTCCTGGGAGTGATTGGCTTTTGGACCAGCATGCTTGTTTGTCCAGTGGTTCCAGGAGTCAGGATCCTCTTGGGGGAGAACCTTGGCCCTCGGACCTGGCGTGAGCCAGGTTCAGGGACTCCCCTTTTTTTTCTCATCTTAGGCTCTGTCTAAGGTGTCCTCTCAGTTCACAGTGGCTGGGGCACTGAAAACAGTTTGCCTCACCTTATGAATCAGTGAAGAACACCTAAGACTTCTTCCACAGGAGCTGTTTTATCTCCTGTCTTAGAAATCCATTGATTTCTAAGATCAGAGATAAAAACACACTAGTGTGAAAGAAGTCTTAGGTGTTCTTCACTGATTCATAAGGTGAGATGAACTGTGTTCAGTGCCCCAGTCACTTGGAACCTCCGGAGGTCACCCTAAGGCCAAGCCTAATTCCAAGATGAGGGACTATGTCCCTCAGCCTTAGGGGGGTGGGGGAACTTGGAGAGGGGGGGAACACCCCCTCCTCCTTGGAGAGGGGGGGAACCACCCCCTCCTCCTTGGAGGGGGGGGAAACCCCCCCTCCTCCTTGGAGGGGGGGGGAACCCCCCCTTCCTCCTTGGAGGGGGGGGGGAACCCCCCCTCCTCGTTGGAGAGGGGGGAAACCCCCCCCCATCTCCTCTGTAATCATAGAATGTACTGGAAATAAAAGTTATATTGAAATTTTCAAGTTTTATTTAAAACCATTTTACAAAATAATTTGTGTAGGGGGGGTGGTCCTCTCCCTTCCAGGGGATGGGGAGGAATCCTCCCCCCCCCTTCCAGGGGGAGGGGAGGAGTCCTCCTCCTCCCACCCCCCTAAGGCTGAGGGACATTGTCCCTCATCTTGGAATTAGGCTTGGCCTTAGGGTGACTTCCCTAGGTTCCTAGTGGCTGGGGCACTGAACACAGTTCATCTCACCTTATGAATCAGTGAAGAACACCTAAGACTTCTTTCACACTAGTGTGTTTTTATCTCTGATCTTAGAAATCAATGGATTTCTAAGACAGGAGATAAAACAGCTCCTGTGAAAGAAGTCTTAGGTGCCCTTCACAGATTCATAAGGTGAGGCAAACTGTTTTCAGTGCCCCAGCCACTATGAACTGAGAGGACACCTTAGACAGAGCCTAAGATGAGAAAAAAAGGGGAGTCCCTGAACCTGGCTCACGCCAGGTCCGAGGGCCAAGGTTCTCCCCCAAGAGGATCCTGACTCCTGGAACCACTGGACAAACAAGCATGCTGGTCCAAAAGCCAATCACCTCTAGGAAGAAGCCCCCTGACCCCAGCTCAAAAGGATAAAAAAAATGGTACCAATCTTCTTCAGGACCGGCTCTCCTTGTCCTAGGATTCAGTGTATCCTTGAAGAGGCTCGCCTGAAGATCCTTAAAAAAAAAAGGGAACCTAAGCAGCCTAACGCTGACACCTAGATACAGCAATTGCTGCTCCTAGGGCCAGTCGCCTCCTCCAGGAAGCTCCTTATCCCAGATACAGAAATGTCCGAGCCATAAACCCAGAGTTATAATGCTCCGAGAGTAAGGTACTTCCCAGAAGAGACTTCTGACCCCCGCTCTAAAGGGGTAGGGGAAAGGGGTTCAGATGCAGTTGATTCCAGTTGATAGATGAAATGTCCTTCATGTTGGGGTCAGCTGCAGTTGATAGATGAAACTATGGTGGGGTCAGCTGCAGTTAATAGATGACTCTCTTTATGGTTGGCTCTGATGAAATAAAACCTAACCTAGGATGTGGAAGAAACGAAAGAAAGAAAGAAATCCAGTGCAGATTAAGTAATACAAATCCTTCCTTCACTTGTATAAAACTTCAGTCTAGTCTACAGTCCTCCCTCACTCTTTATCTGCTTCAGTACAGTAAATCTTACATTCTAGTCAAGTTTCCCTCAATTATACATTATTTCAGCACAGTTTTAATTCACATCACCAGCCTTTTCTCTTGCTCATACAACTTCAGTACTGTATTATCTTCAAGTCATACACTCAACAGCTTCCCTCCTTTACTGTAATACTCGTCAGTCATACGTCCGGCAGTCTTCCCTATCCATTAACTTAGTACAGTACAGCCTTTCCTCTCTCAACCATAATATACAACCAGCCTTCTCTCACTCTGCACTGTACCTTTCACTGTAAATGATCCACGGAAAAGGAAGAATTTTAATCCCTAAAAAATATTACGCCTACAGTATTGACCTCCAACTTCTTGTATAAAAATTAAACTATACTCTAAATCTCATGAAGGTAATTAGTCTTTTCTCCCATACACAATTTTTTAAACTAATATCCTCACTTCTACAAACTTCACTATAAGTCACTTTCTCACTTTTAAACACCTTCAGCATAGTGCTAAGTCATTGTCTCACTTCCACACAACTTAACCACAGTTTTAACTGTTAGAAACCTAATCTTAAACACCGTCTAAAGTCATTAGTCAGTTTACAAATCTATAGAAAGGTTCAAATAACACAGCAACACCAAAACTCAACATAGTTAAATAATCTGTTAAGTACTGGTGTGGCCACTTACTTCTACTGTAAAGTAACTAACTCAATAACATACTGCAAGGTAGACCACAGTATTCCTTCTCTCGTACAGGTCCTGGTCCTGGTCTGGTGTGATGGCTGATCTGAGGAGCTTGATAGAGAAACCAAAGATCACATGAAGATTAGCCCCCAATTAATATCACCTGATGATTAAGCACCTTAACACTAAGTAAGTTAGGTAAGGTTAGGGTGGTTAATCTTAAGGTTAAATAAGCCAGAGAGGTGATCCAAAA